TATACACGCCTCTATTCAAGCCTTGAAATTGACGTAGCGCGAGAATTCTGGTCTTCTAGCGACAGACTCGCCGTTTTTCGCCCCCAACAATATTATGAATTTCCCTCGAAGATTTGATGTTCTTAGTAATCACATTCATATTTTAAATATATTTTAATATTGAAGTTAGTGTAATTTATGGTCTAACATTAGCCATATTTTGTTATATCATATGACACCAACATATGGTATAATCTTTACTATGTGCTAGATAGCTTTCATGCCTGGAATTTGACTAAATTAAAATATTTATTATATAATCTTTGAATAATGTGTGTTAATAGCTACTAGACACGTTTGCCACATTTTTTTGACTCAATAATTTTGATAAAATTCGATTTCTTCAAGGATTACCGAGAAACTTGCTTTGTACCCTAGTTTCTCATTTTATTGGTCGAGAGAAGTTATTCAGAGATTGCTTGAATCAATGGTTAATTACTACTCACACCAATAATAAAAAAAAAAGGACTTGGATCCGGATAAACGTTGTATGGATTCGAGAAATATAGAAAATAAATAAATAATGGATCCAGTATAAGGCTATCCATTATTTATATATTATAATATCTGGATAAAAGCTCTTGAAAATTAAATCCATACAAATATACATTATTTAGTCAATTCATTTTTTATAATCAACCTGTTTTGCCTGCAGCATCAAATAACACCTCTAACTAATTAATTCCATAAATTCATGACAGTGATGATGTTCATTCGCTTACGAATGACGGCTATGCCCTACAACAACAACTAAATCTTCTATATTGGTCATGTCTTTGGCACGTTCAACAGCAGTTGGCATTGGCATATTCGAAGAAAATACTTGATAATTTATACATGCACTCCCCATAAGATATCCAGATTCCGATTTTAGGTACTTTTTCGACCTCTTCATTTTCCTGACATGTAGCAACTTCACTAAAAGAAATCATCAAAATTTGTTGAAAATTTTTTTCATCGCTGACGTTAATTTTGGATTAAACATCAGATTTTAAATATGACATTGTTACCATAGGTTTTTCTGACTTTATGAACTCAATATAGTTAGCCATATTGACTTTGGATATTCAAATAATCTAAAAACGAAAGTGTGAATCCCGTATTTTTTTTTTCTTCTAAATTTGCTGTTTCATTGTTTTTGTATAATTCTAACATTTATATGCGATGCATTATTAAAAATTTTGTGAATTTCATGTCTTGCTTCTATATACATAAGCGAAAGATTTTGACTGTTCCAACTTAATTACTTATGACAGCTTTTAATACTTTTTGAGATTCTGAAAAACAATAAATCTTCTACATTGGACCGAACAGTAAAAATGTAATACTTGCTTTTCAGCTGTTTTAACCTCTTTAAATGCAGACAGTGTCACTTTAGAATGAACCTTTTAGGAAGATTCGGATTTTTAAGAATTTTTTGTTATTTCCGAAAACATATTTTAAGAATTTACAGAAACTTTTAGGCACTGCAATATAAAGAAGGTTTTATATAGGTTCCGATCCGATCCAATTTCAAGTAGCATTTAAAAAATATAAAAATGTCTCCAGTAATTTCTTTTGTAATTGAACACGAATAAATTGTTAATAAATATTTCTGTTAATAGTTTAATGCTTCCTTCTGAAATAAATTTATGCCCAAAATTTTTTTTCATTCTTTGTTAAACTTAAACTCTTGACGAACTTATCTTCTAGCTCAAGTTTTTGAGCATCACCTTTAAATTCTTGTGGAACCTTGCTAATATGTGTTCACATTAAGCTATTGTA